TGAGGTATCTCTGGATGGCAAAGCTTCGACTCACATGCTTTGAGTATGTTGCTAGGACAGACTATTCCTTGGAGAAGGACATCATACTTGAAAGATGGAGGGTCAGTAAAGAAAGGAAAACCTTCAATGAGATGTATTGACACAATGATAATAGCAATGGGCTCAAGAGTCTCAGGGATTATAGAAGATGGCAGAGGATAGGAAAGGGTTCAGATCTGTTGTTCAAAGGGTTGCTATAAATGATACTTGAAACAATGGCACCAAAAAACCACCACCACTACTACCACCTCTGGACTAACCCATAGATAATCATGGATAACCTCTTGGTTAGCAGCCAATACATGTTTAATAGTTGAGTTGTTCAGAAATGTAATGTTGAAGGCAGAACAAGTCCAGGTTTTTACTCAGTTTTAAAATGTATGATTTATATGAGATATCTGTTGTTTGTACTGCTTAATGGATAAAGTAGCATTAGAAGGTGGCATCAAAATTAAGGAAAATCCATCAACAACATACACTACACAGATTAACACTCTCTTATTTGCAGAAAGAGAAAACGACTTCAAGACCTTGTTGCAGAAGATCAAAGACAGTCTTCAATATGGATTACATCACAGTATCAACACAATAAAAATCCTTACATTGAATCAATAGGCAACATCATGATATTGAAAAGATTTAAAAGTTGTCAAGGATTTACTTTTATTTAGATCCACAATCTATGCACATGGTAGCAGCAGTCAAGACACGCTGCATTAGGAAAATCAGCTGTCTAGGACCTCACACCAAAGTGCTAAAGAACAAGGATATAATTTTAAAGACTAAGGTGCCTCTGCATTAAGTAATAGAATTTTCAATCATTCCCTAAGCATCTGAAAGTTAGACAATAATAAGGAAGAGCAAAGAAATGAGAATGCCTTTGAACTGAGGTGCTTGCAAAGATTACTATCTATCCCATGGACTGACAAAAAACCGTCCTCCTCTGTCTTGGAAGAAGTGCAGACAGGCTGTTCCTTTGAAGAAAGGATGGTAGAATTGCATCTCATGCTCTAGCATGATATCAGGAGGGGCTAGTCCTTGGAAAAAGGCATCATGCTAGGAAAGGCAGAGGCTCAGCTAAAGAGAGGATGGCCATCAAAAAGACAGACTGCAACACTGCCTGTAACAATGGGCTGGATCATGTTAGAGGTTGTGAGGATGACACAAGACAAGGCAAAGGTTCAGCTTTGTGGTTCACAGGGTGGCTGAGTTGTAGTCCACTCAACCGCATGTAGTAACTTTAACAACATTGCTTAATGAGAGTTAGAGACTAGTGGAAGCACTTTTTTCTATTTTTCACTTTGTTTTATTATATACACAGTGAGTTAATTTTAACTAGAATAAGACTAAGGTGCGCCTGATACAGGCCATGGTCTTTGCAATCGCTTGTTATGCATCAGAGAGTTGGACAATGACTAGGGAGGACAGAAGGAGAGTTGATGCCTTTGAGCTGTGGTGCTGGAGAAGAGTACTGAATGTACCATGGACTGCCAGGAAAACAAACAGATTCATCCTGAAGAGGATTAAACCAAGCTACTCCTTGGAGTCAAGGATTCTGGGGCTTCGTCTGACATACTTTGGACATGCTGCCAGGAGGTCCTTGGAGAGGGACATCATGCTTGGGAGGGTGGAGGGACAGCACAGGAGGGGAAGACCCTCTATGAGATGGATTGATTCAGTGACTGGGGTAATCGGGATGCGTGTGTCAGAGGCAGTGCGGTTGGCACAGGATAGAGCAGGGTTTAGGGCTATTGTGCATACGGTCGCTATGAGTCGCAAACGACTCGACGGCACATAACAACAACAACAAGACTACTTTGAACAGTCTTGCCAGTAAGGAGAATGATGGCTATTACATAACCTTTCTGTACCAATCTTAATTCTCATTGAAGAAAAGCTATCACAACAATTTTACAGAGAAAATTGAAGACAGCAGCTCAATGTGAGATAGTTCTTCAACTCTTAAATATACATGTGTGAACAGCTTGAAAAAGTCATGAGGAGATGCACCATCAATATTACAACTGAGCTGAACCACCCATGGCTAGTTAGAACAAAGGAATAGAAACCAAAGGGTAACCACCACATCAGCCTTAACAAGGGAAGGTCAGAAATGTCTGAGGAACAATGGAAGCTGACTCACCTCTGCAGGCAGCAACAGTGAGGAACTTCTCATTGGCATGAAGGTGGAGCCCTGCCAGCTCTTCCCCATTCTCTGCTGAATTAGCTGTGGCAGGTTTGGGAGTGTCAGTGCCTGGCACACAGAGAGATCAGCTAGGGTCGTCTGAATGAGCAGGGAGGATTGTGAATGCCTGTCATGTCTTTCAAAAGATTCTCCTACCCAAACACACAGGGAACCATGAAGGCTCCAGACTCCGAAACAAGACACTCATCTTGGAAGGACCTGGGGCCTGTCAGAGTAGTACTCACAAGATGTCAGAAAATATGCTGAAAAAGAGAATCTGAGAAGGTAGACAGATAGGTCTGAAGACCACTTCTTGTAAGGCTGGGTCTAGGGTTAGGACTGAAGCCTACCGATGTTTAGGAGAGGCAGTGCAATCTGGTAGAAAAGAGCATTGACTCCAAGCCAACTACACTGAGTTTTCTCCTGATTCAGCTGCTTAGAAGGCCAGTAACTGGATCTGACACTTTCTTCATCTTTTTTTTTCTTTCTATAATTCTATTTTATTAATTTTCATAAACATTTACAGAGATTTTGGGTTTCCATTCATTCATTGTTGCACTATTCTCTCTACCCTCCTCCCCAGTTTGTTCTTGTCCAAATGCCACAGTGCTTGTCAATGCCAGTTCTGATTAATCTTCTTTGTCAGTGTGTCCTTTGCCATTCCCTATCACTCCTCCCTGAGAGAGACTTCACCCTGAGTCATAAGGAAAAGGGGATGGCGTATTCTCTTAGCTACTTCCTGCTGAAAAGGGACGCTGTGGGTTTCAGGGTGAAGATCTTCTCTCACTACTCTAAAGGGCCCCTTTGGCAGTAGGAAACACATAGACTATTATGGAGATTGATTTTGGAATTTAGATGCACTCTTATTGATTGTGCTTGGCCGTACATGTTCATATCCTTGAAGATGTATCATGGGGGTGTTGCAACCTAGAAGACACAAATTTGACTAACAAGTTATAAGTACATGAGTCAAAAATTATGGAAAAGTAAAAGAAAAGATTCTTTCATTGTTTTACAAACCCTCCCCCAGGTCTCCTCCACCATGTAGCCCTCGCTCTGGACTCCTGTGATGACAGAAATACCTAGTTATCTATCTCTTTTAAACGGTTTTCTCCCTCCTCTGTTTCAGTGCAGTATACATTATTGAACCCATCTTACTCAGTCTCTCCCCAACCCCAAGGTCAGTCCCATTCTACAACAGTGGCATCATGTAATATTTGTCCTTTTGTGACTGGGATATTTCACTCAGCATAATGTTCTCCAGAGTCAACCATTTTGAATAATATTGCATGAGTTCCTTGTTTTTTAATGCAGCATAGTATTCCATTGTGCGAATATACCACAGCTTCTCTAGCCATTCGTTTGTTGATGGGCACGGTATCTCCATTTCCTAGGGCCAAAGTGGAGAGAAAGAATTTATTGTATGCAATGCACCTGCTAGAGCTTCAAAATTGAATGCAAGGAAGGTTCATGTTATACCTCTGCTGTCTTCCACTCATCCTGATTTCCAAATGTGTTACTAATGATTTCCTATCCTGAGAACTTAAGGCTGAACTTGGTTGGGTTTGTAATCGATTTGTAAAAGGTGTGGATGAACATGGGGGTGGTCGAGTCTGAATTCTAATTACTTCTTAAAGGGAAACTGTCCCCGCCAATAAGAACCATAGTAGCAAACACATAGCTACATGGACACACTACTACCCTACATGCCCCTGAACCTACTTCTTTTTTTTTAGATAATTTATGTGTGTATATCTGTATCTATATATAGATATATATATCACTAGGCCACCAGAGCTCGCCTGAACCTATTTCTATGAATCATTGGATCCAATGTTCATTGCTTATTGACTCACAGTTGTCAAGTTTATTAGGGAAATAAGTTGGGGAGTGGAGGAAGCAAGGAATATCACATAACGCAATTCCATGTTTAGTCCAGCAGTCCAGCAGTCCCAAGCCATATTAACAGCAAGACACAATTCCTCAGTTAGTTCAGGGCAGTTTCACAGGTAACAAGTTAAAGTACAGGTTCAGTTCAGTAGCACAAATACACCTTTGGTTTCCTCAATCATCCAGCAAACTTTATCTTAGAGCAATTACAAGTCAGTTTTTCCTTCAGTTGTCCAGAAACAAAAACTAACTGTGGCTACTTCTCCAGGGTTCATCTGGTTATATCCTGTCAAAGTCTCTTCACTGTCTCTCCACATTCCACCTTTTTTCACAGCGTGGATGTGGAAAACATTCTTTTCTATTGGTCTCACAGAAGTTCATGATTTCAAGACCATGTGTCTGCAACTGAGGAAGCTGGAGACCAAGTCATGATGGTGACTTAGTTGTAAGGAAGTGCACTGCCAAACTAAAGGAAAACAGTTCAAATCAACTAGCGGTTCTGTAGGATAAAGATGGGTAATCTCTTCCCATGTGATTTGCTGACTCTGAAAACTCATGGGAGGGTCAGCTATGATTCGGTTTCAACTAGACAGTTTTTTAAAGCTGTGAGATAGAATTTTTAAAAAACAATTCTTAAATAGAAACCTGTTGGGGGAAGGGGAGAAATAGCTAGCATAAAAAAAAAGGTTTTTTATGCCCAAAGTTCTAACTGAGACCATTTACATTATGGCTGAGCCTTTCAGTTAGAAAACTCAGTCAAAGTTGTGAGGTTGCACTTGAACATGCACTTGAAGTTCGTATGTGATGAACTGCTGCAGTTCTCTCCTCTTACATTCCCTTAGTGAGCATTCGCGAAGGAGCAAATCCAGCCCCTCTGATGATCAACTTATGTACAAGAGTTCCTTAGCTGTTCAAGTTTGTGCTTCAACTGTTCTCGCCGTTTCCTCAACAAGTCCTTTTCTGTAATGAGTTTGTATTCCTCTGCTTGGATGCACAGGATGTAGGCAGTGGCCGTCTTAAGGATAACGACCTTGGGAGCCTTTTCATTGTTTTCCAAGTCTGGGATCTGGTCTCGCAGGGCCAAAAGGCTCCATTTCAGCTCGTTCCTCCTCTGGCGTTCCAAGACATTGTGTGTTTGCCTCTTGTCGTTCTGTGTTTGCCTCTTGTCGTTCTCCTCAGAGCGTAAGGAGGTCTGTGGGCTGGTGCATTTGCGGTTGTTGCCGATTTGTTTCAGGACCCTGCCACTGTCCAACTTGGCCTTCTTGTTGGCACAGTAGTTTCTCCTGGTGGAGGGCGGGGCTGCAGAGTTATGCAGATGCCTGGAGCCAAGGCGTCTTTTGAGGCTCAGTGGGTTGTTGAGAGATTTGCTGTGGCTTCCCACAGGGGTTGACCCTGCTTCTGACATTTTGTCAGAGAATTGCCTCTTTTCCACAACACTGATTTCTTCTTCATCCTCTTGTTCTTCCTCTTTAAGAAAAGCACAAGAAATCACCAGGTTAGTGACCAGTCACCAAATCATCTTACAATGCTGTGCAAGTGAGGACCTTGGACCAAGAGACAGCTTGATTCCCAGAGAGAACAAAAATCCTTCTCCCCTGAAGCCTCACACAAAATGACAATATACCAGGATTCAACATCAGTGCCAATTCTTACCTAAGATTCAATGAGGTTTTGGACACACTCAAAGCAAACCCTGTTCCCAAGCACCTCCCATTTTTAGGAACTTTACCAAGAACCCTTCAGGTCTTGCAAATGATAGCTGCAAATCTCTTGGTATGGTATAACTTTACCAATTCCCTGTTCAACTGGAAATGCAAAAGAAAGGGTGGGGGAAGAATCTTGCAGCTATGTCAAAAACACTGAACAGGGAGACAAAAAGGTGGCAAATTTGGCCCAAGGGCCAAGTGTCCAAACCTGGCTTCAACACTCTATTCTGTGCTCTCAGCTCCCAGCACCTAGTGTCAGGATCCTGCCCTCTTGATTTTCTTTTAGATTCAGATTCGTGGCCCATTAAATTCCAACAACTTCTCAGAAGTTCAGGGAAGAGGAAGGTAATTCATCAATCTCTTCACTCATTCACTACCACTTCCCACCCTTCATAGGGCAATTAACACACAAAGTCGGTGCTGGTCATGAAGGCACCTCTTAGAAGGGGCTGGAGACTGGCCCCCAGGGAGGACTCTATGGATAAGAGGGAGTCAGAGGACTGCAGGACAGTGGAAGAGTCCACCAAGTAGCAATGCACTGGGAGGCAGCTGCGCTCAGGCCCTGCAGGTAGAGAGGCTGGAGGTAGAGCAGCCCACATGCGCCAGGCTTGGGCTTCCACTGTCTTCTTACACACAGCCAGGTAGGACACCAGCTTCTCTGACACTAGCTTGGCAGTGATTGAGAAGCCGCTCCACATGCAGTCCTGTATGATGATTATGATGATGTTCTTGATGAAAGTCTCATTGCCTGGGTCGCAGATGAAGCTCTGGTTCACAATGTCTCCTCCCCAGCAGCTCAGTGACTACCTCCCGTTGCTGCCTCCACTACGACCGCTGCCAAAGTTGTTGGCTCCAGGGGCGAAGGTCTGGTGGTAGGAGAGTGAGCAGAGCCCCGAGCAGCCGCTGGGGGTCAGCATCAGGGTGGGCAGCAGTTAGAATTTCTTCGGTATCCTTGCTCAGCACCAGCAGCTGTCTCTCACTCTATTGCAGGTGGTGGAAGTTCTCCTCCTACAAGAAGTAGGGCTGCGGTGAGCCATAATCCAGATCACAGTTCCTGTCGGCGAAGCTGACACTGAGAGGCATCACAGCAGCCTGCAGAAGCAAATCCAGAATAATCTAAAAAAGTGGAGGAGTGCCTTTCTTGCCCAGGTAGTGTATGTTCCAGTGCGAAGTGCCCGCCCTTGTATTGCGGTGAAGTACGGCGGCTTGGTTGCTCTGTGCGGTGGTTCGGCTGCATGCCTGCCGCTAGGGTGCGCACCACAGGTGGGGTGCGGGTAGGAGCTGGTGGCGGCGGGACTGCGAGTCAGGCAGGCGCCTTTTCAGTCCAAATCTCCCAGCCTGAGCGTCTGGAGCACCGCTCTGCTGCTTCTATTCCCTTGATTCTTACACCCTAGGAGACAACCCACTTACTCCCTCTGCCTCTCACTGGAATTACACAGAGACCAGAGAATAAAGCTCCAAAACCCAGCTTTTATACTGCTGGATGTCCGTCCTCCCCGCCTCTCTTCCCTCAACCTCACAAGCCTCGGAAAAGCCTAGCCCTTCAGAGGCCAGAAAGGGAATCAAGGGGCTTGGTGGTACTGTTGGATGCCATCTAGTTTATTCCTACTCATATCACTCCCAAGTGACAGACCAAAGCTGTCCTAAAGGGTTTGACTGGCTGCAATATTTACAGTCTTTTTCCCATAAAGCTGTTGAGGAGGTTCAATACATCAACCTTTCTATTGTGACATCAGGGTTCCTTATTTTGGTATAAAACTCAATTCACTGCCATACTACATGAAAACTGACACATGGCTGACCCCCTAGCAGATGGTCAGAGGCTATAATTCACTAACTGATGGATTCTAACAGCTTGACCTTAGGTTGGAAGCACGATGCTACTCATTAGGCCACCAGAGCTCCTTTATAAGATATAACAAAATGTAAGCTTTATACTTGACAGTTTTTCCATGTTGCTCATTCAACAATGACTAGTGATTTAATATTTCCTATTTCATATAAGGACAAGTTACATTCTTAATATAGATCATCTTTTTTTAGGTTCCCTTTTCAAATCTACTGATCCATGCATCTATTTTCACATCAGTATCACAATGGACTTTCTAGTCTAATTATCTTTTATAACCCAACCAACAACCATTTGCTGTTCTATCAATTCTGACTTTGTGTGTCAGAGTAGAATTATGCTCCATAAGGTTTTCAATGGTGGATTTTTCAGAAGATTTTGTACCAAAGGGCTTATTTATATCAATGACTTTACACCTGGGCTTTATACCAAAGGACCCCTGGGTAAGCTCAAATTTCTCCCTTTTGGTTAGCAGTAATTATACTAAAATACTCTTCATATTTTCTCATTGATCATTCATGCCTTTTCTCCTTTTAAAACTTTTTTCTACTATTCTTGTCTACTGAGTTCTTGCACAAAAGTTTAAGTGTCATTCTTAAAATCCTAAGAAAAAACAAAGAGAAAACATAAGATTCTGACTGGCAGTATGAGTCTTGCGTTGTGGAAGGTCACTCATCTGCTAGCCTGCTCTAACTTGTACGCTCCTCTTTCACATGACACATGTTCTCAACTGTGAATTCTATGCTTGGTTCTAGTCCACACCAGTAAGATTGGCTAATTAATTACTGTATCTTGCAGAAAAGCCTTTTCTACTATTGATTCTGCTTTTTTCTTCAGATGTCTTGAATTGTCTTTCTGTGATGTAGATTTCTGCAACAACTACTCACACAATGCTGCTCCTACAACCATATCTATCCAGAGTATCCTGGACGGGCACCCAAATTAACAATGCTAAACAGAATTTTTCTTCCTGTTTGTCAATGAAAAAACTACCGTGGCTTTTCTTTGCCTATGCAGGTAAGCTGGTCTACCTGACTGTCTACAGCCTGGGTTGAGATAGGAGCTAATGGAGCCACATCAGCAGGTGAAATAGGGGCAAGGAAGGAAGAGTAGATGGAAATATATTCAGCTATACAGTATTTAAAATTTGTGTGACTGCTAACAGTAAGATACATGTTGACCAATGTTCAAGAGACAAAATATCAAGAAAAATGTCCATATAAATGGGGAAACTAAATGTGTACTTACATATAATGGAATCTGCTCATACATAATGAAAAGATGAAATTCAGATACATTCTATAAATTGGATCAACCCTGAAAACACTGTGGTGAGTGATACAAATCAATCACAAAAGGGCAAATATTTTATCTCAACTCATTGCTGTCACAATGGAACAGATTCATAGCTGACATCCAGCAAGTTTCCAAGGGTGTAACCCACACAAGAGGATATGAACTATCCTCTTGAGGAGCCACTGGCAGATTCAAACCACCCATCACAACTACCTAAATACCATACTAAAAAAGCTCAAAAATTATATAATCTCACTAATATGAGCAATCTATTGTTGTTGCTAGGTGCTATTGATTTACATACAACTCATAGCAACCCTATGAATAACAGCCTTCAACCCTGTCCTATCCAGCACCATATTCATCATCTCTGATACACATGAGCCCAGTTCTGTAGTCATAATGTCAAGCCAGCTTGCTGGTGGTCTTCCTCTCTTTTGTAGAACCTCAACCTTTCCAATGTGATCTCCCATTCCAAGGAATAATCTCACTTCGCAACACATCCAAAAGTATATGTAATGAAGTTTCACGATCCTTGCTTCCAAGGAACATTTTGGTTGCACCTTTTCCAAGACATATCTGGTTGTTCTTTTGGCAATCCATGGATTAATGAGCGGTAAGGAGTTGCACTGCTAACGCAAAGGCTCTTGGATTGATTGTACTGTTGAGCTGGAACTGATCTGTAGCTACCTAACCCACTAGTGGGTTTTCTGAGACAGTAAACTGCCTGACAGAAGATTGCTCATCTTCCTTCTGCAGAGCAGCTGGTGGATTTGAACTGAGTTCCTTCAGAATAGCAAGGCAGTTTGTTATCACTAGGTCCCTAGAATTCACTATGAACTATCGAGGACAGGCAATTATATAGAGATCAAAGTTTATGAGTGGTTTCCAAGGGCAGAAGAAGAAAAGGAAAAGTCATTTTTGTAAGCACTGGGTTTCTCTTGGTGGTGATGGGAAATTTGGCAACAGATTTTGGTGACAGTTGCACAAGACCATTAATGTAATGATGCCACAAAATAGTGTACATGAAAAATGCTAAACTGACAAAAGTTAAATTGTTTATATCCTTAAAAATATATTGTTGTTGTTGTTGTTATGTGCCATCAAGTCACCTGCGACTCCTAGCGACCCTATGTACAAAAGCCCTAAACTCTGCCCTATCCTGTGCCAATTTCAATGTCCCTGACACACCTACCCCCATTTCCCCAGTCACTAAATCAATCCATCTCATCGAGGGCCTTCCTCTCCTGCACTGTCCCTCCACCCTCCCAAGCATGACGTCCCCTTGCAACATGTCCAAAGTATGTGAGACAAAGCTTCAGAATCCTTGCCTCTAAGGAGCAACCTGGCTCACTCTCTCCAGGACAAACCTGTTCGTTTTCTTACTGTCCATGGTGTATTCATACTAACATTCAAATATCTATACAAACACATATGAAACTAAAACATCCATAATATATACCCCTACTGCTTTTGAGTTATCCTGGTATCTCTCTTATCCATTCATTGTCTTCTAAGTCTAGCTGCACCACAGTAAAATTATTTCCTAAGCCACAAAGGGATCATAAAATATTTTAGAAAAATACTCCTTCCATAGCTTTCAAAAAAACCTCCTTATTTTTGTCAAGTTACCTGGATATAAAAATCAAATTATGATACAATTTCTAGCATTGATTCTTTTTCCATGGTTTTAGGATGTATTGCAGATAAGGAAAAGAATGTGTGTACATATACATGTGTATTATATGACTATACCAGGGCCAGTAGCCATAGAGTTGATTCTGACTCAGAGACAATTTGGGAGCATCAGGATAGAATTGTACCCCCTAAGATTTTTAAATTGCTGATTTTTCTTAAGTAAACTGCCAGGTCTTTATCATGAAGTATCTCCGGATGGCAATACTTTGACTCAAACTTTGGGATGTTGCTAGGAGAGGGTATTCCTTGGAGAGGGACATGATGCTTGGAAAGATGGGAGGGTCAGAAAAAGAGGAAGACTCTTAGCAAGATGTACTGACACAATGACAGCATCAGTGGGCTTGTGTCCAGGATGATGAAGATGGCACAGTATAGGACAGGGTTCTGTAGTTCACATAGTGGCTATGAGTTGTAGTCCACTCAACAGAACATAACAACTACAACAACACCATTTAATGAAAAGTTATACATTAGATAAAGCACATTTTCTTTTTTTTAACACTCTTGTATTTTGTTATTTTATTAAAAATTAAGAAATTAATTTGTAAACTTCTGTGTTGCAACTTCTGGGGTGATGATGATGGTCTGTCTCTTGTTCTGAGTGGGGTGTATCAGGGATAACCCACCAACCAGTTGCCTTGAAATCCACTACAACCCAAGGCAACCCAATGTGTATCAGAGTAGAATTATGATTCTAAGATTTTCATTGGCTGTGTTTTTTGTTTGTTTTTAATTTTTTTATTATTTTTTATGTGTACCATCAAATCGGATCTAACTGGTACAGGAGGAGATTGCCCCTCCTTCTCCAGCAGAGCATCTGGTGGATTCGAACCATATACCTCCAGGACTGCAGTGCAGCTCCTTGCCACTAGGCCACCAGAGCTCCCTCATTGGCTGTTTTTTAAAGAATTAGATAGGCATGCTTTACTTTTGAAGCAATTCTAGGTAAACTCAAACCACCAACTTTTCAGTTGGCAATAATCACATTAACTGTTTGCACCACTTTTCAGTTGAAATCAGTGGTAAAATTCATAAAGCTGAATTCTAAAACTAGATGGATGTTATGCTTTTTTATGTCAAACTTTAAAAAAAATATTGTTTATACTAGTTTACTTACCAAGTTTGTATACATTGTTTTTCACATCACGTTTTCTATTTTTTGCCATTGTTTTATTATATATAGTGCAACTAGTTATTGTTCATCATAACTAGAATACTTTGAACAGTCTTGCCAGTAAGAATGATGGCTATTACATACACTTTCTGTTAACGGAATTTTACATGGATTGGTACTTGTATCAATCCATACTAATCATAATTATCTCAGAAGAAAAGCTATCAAACAATTGTACAGAACAGATAGAAGACAGCAGATGTGAGACCACTTTTCAACTGTTAAATACCTGTGTCAACAGATCTAAAAAGAGTGATGAAGTGATCCACCATCAACATTACAACTGAGCTGACCCAACCATGGCTAGTTATAACTAAAGAATATAAACTAAAGTGGAACCACGCCTGCCTTAACAAGGGAAGATGAGAAATGTCTCAGGACCAATGGAAGCTGACTCACCTCTGCAAGCAGGTCCTGGGATCTTCTCACTGACATGAGGGAAGAGTTCTGTCAGTTCGTCCCCAGTTGAATTAACTGGGTCAGGTTTGACACTGGAAGTGCCTGACACAGAAAGAGATAAGCTCGTAAGCCTCTGCGTGTGTGGAGGACTGGGAGTGCATGCTGTGTCTTTCAAAGGAACCTCCTAACCAACATGAAGAAAATCATGAAGGTCCTGGACACTGTGACAGGGCACTCATCTTAGAAGGACATAAGGCCTTTCGGACTAGTCCTCACAAGATTCAAAAAATATACTGAAAAGGGGAAAAAGTTGAGTCTAAGAAGGTAGACAGAAAGGTCTCAAGACCACCAGTGAGGCTGGGAGTAGGTCAGGACTGAAGTCTACCTATAGTTGGCAGAAGCAGTGTGGTCGGGTGGAAAAGGGCATGGACTACAAGACAGCCACACTGAGTTTCAACCTGACTCAGCATTTAGGAGGCACTTAACAGGGAGCCTTTCTGACACTTTCATCATGTTTAATATGGGACAACATCTCCAATCATAGGCATGATCTGAAGATTAAAGGAGATATTGTATGCACTGTACTCACTGGAGCTCTAAGAATCAAATGCAAGGAAGTTCCCGCTGTAACTCTGCTAGCTTCCACTCACTTTAGTTCCCAACTGTGTTACTAATGATATATGATCCTAAGAACTTCAGGCTGAACTTGTATGTAGAAAAGATTTGTAAAAAGGAGTGGATGCAAGGTGGAAGTGACAGAGTATGACTTCTGACCACTTCATTAAGGGGAAATGTCCACACAAATAGTAGCAAACACATAGTGACATGGTCAGACATACCACCACATGTGCTCCTGCACCTTTATCTATCAATCGTCTGATCATCCTTGATTATTAACTCACAGACTTTATTCACAGTTGTAGGGTTTATTACAGAAATAGTTTGGAATGAAAGAGAAAAGGAATAGCACACAAAGCAAGTCCAGGTTCAGTCCAGCAGTCCCAAACCAGAGTAATAGCAAGACACAATTCCTCAGTTTAGGACAGTTTCTCAGTTAATAAGTACAAGTCCAGGTTCAGCTTGGGAGCACAAATACACTCTGGTTTTCTCAATCATCCAGCAAACTCTATCTTAAAGCAGTTACAAGTCAGCATTTCCTTCAGTCATCCAGAAACAAAACCTTTACCTGTGACTCCATCTCAGAGTTCCTGTGGTTACACCTTGCTGCAGTCTCTTCACCCTCTCTCTCCCACCTTTTTTCAGTGTGGAAAGCACTCTCTTATATTGGTCTCACAGCAGTTGATGATTTGCAAGACCATGTGTCCACAATTTGGGTAGCAAGAGAACATGCCCCAAAAGGGGATTAACACAATGGGTCGAAAAGCCAATTTTTAAGGTTTTTATTACCTTAAGAACATAGACATTGGCTGAGATTCCTAGCCCTTCTACTGGGTAAGCCATGCCCTCACCTCCTGAGATCATTTTCCCATAGTTCTCCAGCATGAGGTTCCAGTAGTGCTCCTTCTGAGCAGAATCCAGGTGCCTCCACTGCTCCTGGAAAAAAATACATCATGCCCTTAAACATGGCTCCAAAGGAAGGTACCTAACCCTGCCTAGAGGAAAAGTGAGAATGACTGTGCCAAAGGAGCCTAAGTATCAGCAGATCTGAGAAACCCTGGGACTGAGATTAATGGAGGAAGAGGCCAAGAGCAAAATTACAGTCCCTACTGCAGTATGTCTTATTCTAAATAGAAAAAAATTTGGGTTTTAACTCCTATGTGTATGTTTTTAAGATGTATGCCTCTAATGGTAAATTCTTCCTAGTGAATGGAGAACACACCAGAAAGTATGTTTTTCAACCTCCCCACATTCTTTCATTCTCTAAGTGACTTAGTGTAAAGGTCTGACATTCCCAACATTGAAGTGTAATTTAGAAATTCCAAGGTAAAATAAAATGAAAAAGAAGTATGTTGGCAGTGCAAATATACAGAAAAGAGGAAATAATCAACACATAAGTTGACTGTGTTTAAATGCCATCCAGAGATAAAACTGGTATATTCAGAGAAAGGGTAACACATCCTTGTAATCTCCCAAAAATTCCAAGTTTAGGGTAAAACGCTCATTCAATGGATGAGTTGTCATGAATAAGGTAGCCTCACATATCCTCTAAAGGAAAGTTTTCTGGAGTCTTAGTGGTAAGCAATTGCACTGCCAACCCAAAGGTAAGCAGTTCAATTCTACTAGCTGCTCTGAGGAGCAAGAAGGCAAATTTTCCCATGACATTTACTGACTCTGAAAACCCACTGGAGGGTCAGCTATGAGCGGGTTCCAACTAGACAATTCAGAACAAATAGAAGTAGAGGGAGCTTCCATGTAGGGAAGGAACTATGCTGCCAAGTCAGAGGTGGTGCCTCTCTGGTGTTTCAAATCTACAGGAGAAAGATGGGGAGTCTCCTCCCATGTGATTTAAAGTTTCAAAAAACTTCCTGGTAAGTCAGCTATGGGTCAGTTCCAACTCAACACCAATGAGCTTGAGTTTTGAGTTATGCAAAACTAGAGACTAAAAAGAGAAAGTCCTACTACTTTCTGGTTCCATGACCCTCAGCAAATTGCTAAATTTTTCCGAGTCTTAGTCCTCACTTAAATTCTCATCAAGAAAGGGAATTAAAAATAAGGTCTCGAGATCCCTTATGCTGCATCATCTTTATGCTTTATGAAACACTGTACTTTTAATTCAAAGTATTCATTAAATTATTAGCTGTCCTAAGGAAGCAAAGGAGGATGGAGCCTCTGGGTTCAACCAGCCATCCCCACTGGACCCACCTGGGAAAACACTTTGCAGTCCAGAGGGGAGCAAATTACAGGAAAATATCTTCTAACAGAGCAAGAAGGCAAGCAGCTTTAACCCAAGACCACCAGTAAGGTGATAAAGCATCCGCCCTTCCCCCCTTTACATCTACTCCCCTGTTCAGCATGAAGAAGCCAGAGAGTCGGCATCCAATTCCCAAATCAGTAAGACAGTTGGTTTAATTACCATTGGAAAATGCTTGTCATTCCTCTGTAGCATCTGGTCCCCACTGGACCCTCATCATTTCCTTCACCTGCTCCCCCCACCAACCAAACTGTGCAGCTCTGCAACTGCATCCTGGCCCATCCTCACCCTTCTGCTCCCAACCCTCAACTCATTGTACCCCCAATATGTTTTTCCCAGTAAAAAAAATTTTAAAAAAATTATTAGCTGTCAAGTTCACAAACTATCTATTAGTGATCCTACACATCTCCTGGGAACTATTAACCCACACCCAAGCTGAATGAACCCCAGGCCCAAGATACATAAATGAGATGACTTCCAGGTACACTGTAACCAATCACTAAGAGACAGTGATAAAATAGTAAAAGAAGCAAGGAAAACACAATATGTGCAGAACAAAGTAAGATATGATTCCATTTATAAAAAATTTTTGAAGATGTGAAGTAATCTAGGGTGAGAGAAATCAGATCAGTAGTTAACCAGAAAGAGGACTAAGAAAGGCAAGAAAGAGGGATTGTAAAGACACAAGAACAAACGTAGGGGTGAGGACATGGTTATCACAATTACAGCATAGACCAGTGGATGGCTTTAAGAAACAGAAATTCTCTCCCATTTTAGGAAACTAGAAGTTCAAATAAAGGCACCAGCTTTTCTCTCTCTCTCTCTCATCTCTAGGGGTAGTCCCTTTTCAACATTTGTGAGCGAGTGTGGTGTCAAAACCCCTAAAAACTAGCTCTTCCAGCCATTAAGTTAGCCTTCATTGGCGGAGGTAAGGAGGGTCATAGTCTCCTACTATCTTAACTGTGGACACATGGTCTTGTAAATCATCAACAGCTGTGGGACCAATATGAGAGAGAGAGAGAGAGAGCGTGCGCGCGAGCGAGTGAGAGCGAGCACAAGAGAGCTTTCCACACTATCTGGTCAACCAGCAACAATGGTGGTGAAGAGATTGTGAAGAGACTGGCACTTTTGTGCAGAGATTAAGGCTAAGTGCAACCTTAGGCTTCTTGCATTGTTCTGACCACAGTTAAAAGTTTTACTTGCAGGATGATTGGAGGAAAAGTTGACTTATAACTGCTTTTAATGTAAACCTTGCTGGATGAATGAAGAAACCCGAGGCTTTTTCTTTTTTTAATTGTACAATGATTTGCATACCAAATTGATATATATTCAGAGGCTTCTTGAATTTGTGCTGCTGAATGGAAACTGAGGCTTTAACTAATTGAGGAATTATGCTTTGTTGTTATTCTGTTAACTGGCTTGGAAATGCTGGGTTAAAGCTGGAGTTGTACTGAGTGGTATTCTTTGCCTCCCCTACTCTGATGTATTTGCCTAGGAAGTTCTACAACTGTGAGTAAAGCCTGGGAGTCAACAACAAATACTCATAATCAACGAATACCCAGATAATTGGTAGAAAGAAGTGCAAGAGAATGTGGGGTAGAATATTTGACTAAGCAGAATTTTTTTTTTATTTTATACTGGTTTACTTACAAAGTTCGTATATGTTGCTTTTCAAACCAGTGGGTAGAGGTCAGACTCAGCTACCAGCATCCCCAGGTTGCATCTGCTCTTTTTACACCAAGGCATTCCTTGGTGACCTACCTGTGTCTTGGCCACTCTTTGCCCTGGGCCTATGAGGTTCTCAGCAGAGCACTGAGATCTTGCATATGCTCCCCACTCCTGGCTCTTGGCTCTTAGTGTTAGTCAAGTTCTCCTCTAAACTTGCTTCCTTTTGTATCTCACATGAGTACTATGGCTTCAAGAAAAGATCTCTCATCACAGGTCTTTCCCACCTTTGTTCAGGGCCCAGATTTCTCAATTCCAAATGGCAATTAGAAGAACATTCTACCTTGAGAAGATCTTAGAGAAATACTGAAATGCTATGTTCTCTTCACGTGTATTGTTCCTATTATTGTTCTCCATGCACTTCTGAAGAAGCACTCATTTCAGTCCTCCTGACTATTGGCGAATGTTCAAAATTGGCTAAGAGGGAACAAAAGCAAAGAAACTACTTACCTGAGATGTTGTTTGAAGAAGTGAGCCTCCAGAGTCCTGGTCACTGATGAGCCTTTCCTGAGGTCTCACAAGAAACTGAGGAGCAGCCATCACTGAAATGAGAAATAGGAAACTTTAAGAATCTAGAATCTAGATGTCCTCCTCAGTCCTTCTCCACAGGACATTTAAAAAAAAAAAGAAGAAAAAATTTGGCAAATTAGAGCTGATACTTCCATTCATAATTTCAATATTTGCACTTGAATCACTAACAAAATCCAAATTCCTTTATCATTCTAATAAGCCTCATCCAAACACTCTACCCCCTCTGTGCTCAATTCCAAAATCCAAAAGGTTTAAGGCAGATATAAAGTGGATGAAAATGCAGACCCTGAATTTCCTAATCAGGGTGATGTGTGAACATCAATCTTGGTCCCAAACTTCCGAGGGACACCTCAGTTTGAACACACTTTCAACTCAGTCAGAAACCCTCATTTTCTTCAAGGCCCCCCAATACCACCATGAATAAGAACTGGCCCACACCTAATTCCAGCTCAGTGTCAGGTTCCTCTTTGATGATGTGGCTCAGCTGCTCTCCAGGCCCTGAGGCTGAATTCTGAAGTCCCAGCTCCTGAGGCACCACTTCAAGACTGGCCTCTGCCTCCCTCACTTGGCAGCTTGCAGATTCCACCTCCTCGGGTAAGCTTTCCTGTCCCAGAACCTGGCTGCTGATCTAAAGACCATATATTACTAGTTACTGAAGAATGCTGAGTTGGGATTCCTGAAAACATGAAGTGAATCTTCTACAACAGATTACAAGACAGTCCTTTGAAACAGGTAATGGGGAAGAAGAAAGCCAGCTTCGTTTTCTCATTCAGCAGTTATTTCCAGCCTCTGACAGAAGTAATACAAGAGAGGCCAACTGGTGACACTAAACCAGGCCTGCAAGACCATCAAGAGAGGCCTCTATTCTGAAGTTTCAACTGGACAATATGTACCAATTAAACAAAGTGCAAAATATTAAACAAGTGCAAAACATTCTAGTGTTAAGTTAGAATGGAATAGGAGATTATAGTTTCAATTTCTATCATAGAGTGCAGAAAGTTACTAACACAAAAAGGAAAAGTAAACAAAGCAGCTATAAAAGAGTTCATTCCAACTGACAGCAACACCATGAACAAAGTTGCTATTTAGATCCCAATACCCTCTGCTTACCCACTGCCACAGTCTCTGGGGATCGCCCTTCAAGCTCTCCACCAGCGTCACAGCCTCCTCTCCACTGCTAGGACGCTGTGTGCGAACCCACATCTGTATCTCCCCAGGCAGGATGGTCAGGAACTGCTCCAACATGAGGAGATCCAGGATCTGCTCTTTGCTGTGAACCTCTGGCTGCAGCCACTGGAAACAGAGCTTTCGAAGTTGCCTCAAAGTCTCAAGGGGACCAGACAGAACCTGGTACTGAAAGCATCTGAAAAGCTGTCGGGCAGCTTCAGGGCTGGAGAGTTCCCCTTGAAGAACAGCACTTAGTCCAGGGAGTAGAGGGACCTCTGCCTTTACCAGTGGTGGTACCTGGACCAGGCCCTGTCCCAGCTCCAACGGCATCATGAGGCTTATCAAGTTCTTACACGTCTGCAAAGTCCTTCTGGATGGAATAATTCTCTGGGCAGTAATGCGTCTTCACACAGCCTCTTTCAGGGACACTGGAGAAGGAAAAAGAGCCAAGAGATGCACAGAACATGATTTTAGAAATAAATTCACATGGACTGCTTAGAAGCCTTCCATTCAGCCATGGATCATGAAACTGTCCAAGGATTGATAAAAATAAAACATAGTTGGTACTGAGACAGCTCCAATCTCATATGGACCCCACGTTTCTCAGAGTAGAGTTGTGATCCACAATTGTAAAAAGAGCATGGGCAACCCACATGAGGATAGCCATATCTGACATTTATCAACTTTACAAAGGGGAACTGTTCTGTCCACAGCATCAATAACACAAAATCAATTCCAATGAGTTTAGACACATCCCCCACACCAGTTTCTCTTCATCTCAATACCAAACTTATTGCTTTGCTGGGTCCAAAATCTGATGTTATCACTCACAGACCACATTGAACTACACTTGGTAAGTCAAATGTTATAATACAGATTAGTAACAGAATATATCAAAAAGGCTTCCAAAATGTGCTTGCAGGCACCTCAGCCTCAAGCCTCATGGCTTGAGGTCCATGTTCCCAAGTTCTCAGTTCTGCCAATATTGGCTCCCTATGCCCAGTTGTCCAGCAAAGTTCTCAAGAGCTGCCAACTGGCTCTCCCCAGCCAAGGTCCCATCTCATGTCAGGTCTCCAGTTGCTGCCATAGGTGCAGCTGGAACATGAACAGTGTCCTACATTTCTTGTTTTTTCTTCAATTGCACGAGAAAATTTGTCTCTCACTCTGCCTTGCTTGATTCAATGGCGAGATTAGTCAATCAATCCCCTTGGACATTGTTGAGCCTGGGCCAATCCCCTTCTGGAATGGTAGATAGGCAATCCCCCTTGAGGTTGGGCTAACATGCTCTATTTGCATATTCCCACCCATCTACATAGCAAAGTCAAACAATGACTAGAAAAGTCATGTTGAAAGATACCCTGCACAACAGTGCTGTCCAGGGCTGGCTGATTACTCAAAGGTAATCAATGGGTTTTTCTCTCAAGACACTACTTAGGAAATTATACTTTCCAACTGTACCAACAACAGAGGACTTTAACTGTTCACACAACCCAAAGGCTCAAAGGATTTATTCTTCTATTACTAACACCATAGCTAAACTGTCACCATCATTTTGACCCTCCGGCAGGTTTTCAGACACAGTAAATCATGTGAAATTCCCTATCCTTCTCTTACAGAGCAATTGGTAGATTTGAACTTCTTCTCTTTGAGACTGTGGTGCAGCTTTAAACCACTAGACCACCAGAGCTCTAAGCTTAGAGAAATATACATCTTTAAATAAATGTGGTTGTTGTTAGATGCCAACAAGTCGAGTAGAACTCATAGTGACCCTATGAACAAGAGATCTGAACCCTGTCCTATCCTGTGCTCGAGGATCCTGGCCCTTCTAGAGTCAAAGTGGCTCAGAGGAGAAAAGACAACAGAAGTCCCAACCCCAAGCATCCAGAGACCATGGGCCCTCACCTCCACTGCTTCCCTGGAGCACTTCCTGACTATTCAAAGGCATTTGACTGTGTGGACCATAACAAATTATGGCTACCATTGAGAAGAATGGGAATCGCAGAACACAAAATTGTACTCATGACAATTGTATACCAAGACCAATAGGTTGTTGTTTGTAGAGAGCTAACGAACACTATATAGTTTAAAATAAAGAAAGATGTATGAAGTGTATATTCTCTCTCCCCATACCTTTCAATCTGTATGCTGAGCAAATTACTTGAGAAGTTGGACTCTATGGAGAAGCATGTGGAACCAGGAAAGGAGGAAGACTCATTACAAACTTGTGTTTTACAGATGATACAACTTTGCTTGCAGAAAGTGAGGACTTGATCCACTTGCTGTAAGAGATGAAAGAATATAGCCTTCAATATGGAGTGCATCTCAACATGAAGAAAACAAATACTCTCACCACTGAACTGATAGGTAACATCATGAGAGATGGAGAAAAGAATGCACCTGTCAAGAAACTCACCTTGCTAAACCAGGAGATTAGGAGGTATATTGCAATGGGAAAGTCTGTGGTAAGGAACCTTTCCAAATTCTTGAGAAGCAATGATATTTGTTTTGAGGACTAAGTGTGCCTAATTCAGGCTATGGTCTTTTAAATCATTTGCTGTGCATCCGAGAGCTGGACAATGAATAAGGGTAACAGAAGAAAATGTGATGACTTTGAGTGGTGGTGTTGGAGAAAGGTAAAGAACATCCCATGTACTGCCAAAGGAACAAATGTTTTAGAAAAAGTAAAGCCAAAGTACTCCTTAGAGGCAAAGATGATAAAGCTTCATCTCACATCAGATATGTTGATAGAACAGGCCTGCAAAGGTGGACCCTCAATCAGATGTACTGACCCAGGGACTGTTGAAATGGTCTCAAGTGTGTCAGAAATTATGAGGATGGCACAGGATAGGACAAGGTTCGGATCTGCTGTTCAAAGAGTGGAGTCATATTCAACTCTAAGGCACTAAAAAACATCAAACATCCTCAACAATCCCTGACATGCTCCAGCCATTGCCACAGTTATGTTGTCAATATACCTGCTTGAGGGTCTTCCTGCCCTTCATCATCCCTCCACCTTTACAAGCATGATATCCCTCTGCAAGGAAAAACCTATCCTACCAACATGCCCAAAGTATGTGAGAAAATACTTCACTATCTTTACCTCCAAGAAGCACTCTGGCTGCACCTTCTCCAAGACATATCTGTTTCTTTTTTTTAGCAGTCTGTGTCAGTAATAAGTACTTGTCTCCAACACCACTGTTCAAAAGTATCAATTTTCTTCTATTATTCTTATTCATTGTTCAATTCTTGGATGCAAAGCAAGTAACTAAAAAAAAAAAAAAAAAAAAAGACCAGGGCCTGAATTAGGCACACTATAGTTTTCAAACTGACATCATTTTACTCTTTAATAATCTGGAGAGGTTTCTGACTACTCACTTTTAACATATCTCTTCTATCTACTGACTTCCATTTTAAGATTATATCCTTTTTGTGGGATATAGGCCCCAGACTACAGTAAGATAATATCCAAGTTGCCACCTGGGTGTGTGCAGAGATGCAATATTAAAGAATGCTCCTGGGAAATTCAATGCTTGTTCTCTTGGGGCCTTGCATGTAACCTGACAACAGATCACTTCTACCTGCCTGTTCTAGGACAACAGTTCACCGTCTCTGTGAACTGTCTTGGCCTACACCTTCAAAAATCACATGCGCTATTTCCCTGACAGATTTTCTTGTTTCTATGAGACCTTCCAGGGAACTGCAGAACCCAAAGACACAGCTGACAGTGGGAGGACTGAGAGAAAGATATGTGAGATATGATGAAGTGGCACAGCCGTTTAGAAATTTGGAATATTATTAACTAAGCCTTAAAGGCAACGTTGTTGTGCACCAGAGAGCTGCAATAAACTCATAGGTGACCCTCCAGGAAGTTTTCAGAGGCAGGAAACTGTCCATATTTCTCTCACAAGCAGCTGCTGGACTGAAACGGTGTGACTTTGGGTTAACTGCATAGCTCCTTACAAGTAAGCCACCAGAGGTCCCTTTATAGAAAGAAAATACTACTACTACTACTAATCATAGAAGAGATGATCTGTGTAAAAATATCGGGCAAGAAGCTGCACTGCAATCCTGACGCACACTGTTAGAATCAATGAGCTGCTCTGTGGGAGAAGGATGGACAATCTGTTGCTATGGGATCAACTACCTCTGAAAACCAGCCATAGGGTCAGTAATGGGTCTGATCCAACTCGATGGTATACAAGTACAAGAAATCACTTAATGTACATATAGGTGTCCTCTAAAAGCTGGGACGCTCTGGTGGCTAAGTAGATAAGGCTGCTCGAAGAAAGACAGGCAATCTCCTCTTGAATAATTTTCATCTGAAAATCCACTGGAGGGTCAGCTATGAGTTTGTTCTGATCAACTGCAATGATTTTTTTGTATTTTTACCACCTAAATCTGTCTCCTGAAATTCAACTTTCAAAGATTCAACTATCTGCAAACTTGACAAATTTGGTTGCCTAATTAAAATAGGAGTTCTGATGGGAATTTAGACGAATACCCACATAAAAATACAATTATGGAAAACATTTAAGCTTATGAGAGATTTAACCTTATTTTGTAAGTAATATATGCCTGTTCTATTGAACAATTGATGCCTTTGAGCTGTGGTGTTGGAGAAGAGTACTGAATAGACTGTGGACTGCTAAGAGAACAAACAGGTTCATCCAGGAGAGGGTGAAGCCAGGCTGCTCCTTGGAGGCAAGGATTCTGAAGCTTCCTCTGACATACTTTGGACATGTTGCAAGTCCTGGAGAGGGATGTCATGCTTGGGAGGGAGAAGGGACAGCACAAGAGCTCAATGAGATGGGCTAATTCCGTGTGGGGGTAGGTGTGTCAGAAACAATTAGATTGGCACAGGATAGAACAGGGTTTAGGGCTGTTGTATATAGGGTCGCCATGAGTCTCAGGCAACTCAACAACACATAACAACAAACATATGCCCGTAGGAAAAAAGATTTCCGTTATTAAAAATTATAGTTAATATCGCAAAGATATCATTATTATATGCTTACACCCCCCCCACACACACACAAACAAAAATAATTGTTCTACCTATTAGACTTGTAGCAAACAAATTTTAAAATGTACACGCAGGAGGTAGCCATTTCATACAAGAATGAATTTAGCGATTTGTTGAACATCTTGGATGTATCAGCCCCAGGTTCGGCTGTTTACGTTATTTCTAATCTTTGCCATCACCCTGAGAGGGAAGTATTAAAATTTACAAATCAGGAAGCTGAGGTTCATTGTTGGCGCCAGACTAATTCCCAGAAAGCTCTAAAGCCTGTGATTTGAGGGGAGTTCCCAGTGATAGTGCAAGACAAAGA